TAACTTTGGAGTAGGCAAAGATTTTTTTAAAACAATATGCATGAGAGTGCATTAAATAAAGGACTTTTGTTCATCAAAAGAAACTATTAAGAGAGTTCAAAGACAAACTACACATAGGAAAGAGATATTTACAATACGTATGTTTTAAAAGAAACACACCAATAAGAAAGAGACAATCAAATAAAAAAAATGGCAAAAAGACTTTAATAGGCACTTTACAAAAATATATTCTGATTACCAATAAGCACATGATAAGAAGCTCAATATCATTATTAGGGTAACTAAAACCATAATGAGATTCCTATGCAAATCCACAAGAATGGCTACAAATGAAAAAGGCTTGCTGGTTGGTGAAGATGTAGAGAAATAGAAACCCTTGTGCATTGCTGGTGGGAATGTAAAATGGTACAGCTGCCATGGAAAATAATACAGTGGTAACTCAAAAAATTAAACATAGAATTACAATATGAGACAACCATTCCATTTCTGGGTATATACCTCAAAGAATTGAAAGCAAGGGCTTGAACAGGTATTTGTACAACAATGTTCCTAGCAGTATCGTTCAGAAAAGCGAAAAGATGGAAACAAGCAAAATGTCGATGAATAAATAGATAAACAAGTTATATGGTATACACCTACAATGCAATATTATTCAGCCTTAAAAAGGCATGAAAATCTGATACATGGTACAGCATGGATACACCTTAGAGACGTATGGTAAGTGAAATAAACCAAACGCAAAAGGACAAATATTATATTATTCCACTTACACGAGGTACCTAGAAGAGTCAAGTTCATGGAGAATGGAAAGTAGAATGGTGGTTGTCGGGGCTTGGGGGTTACCAGCATGGAGAGCAACCTTTTAAAACAGGTGCAGAGTTCCAGGTTAGGAAGATGAAGAAGTTCTAGAGACGGATGGTGGTGATAGTTGCACAAAAGGGTAAATGTGCTTAATGCTACTGAACTGTGGTACACTTAAAAATGGCTCGAATGGTAAATTTTACATTATGTATATTTTACCACAATAAAAAAATAAAGAGGCTGGTGGGGAAGGATGTGAACTGTGTAACTTCCAGTCTTTGTTGGTGGGTGCGTAAATTAATATAAATATTTTTGAAAACTCTTGTCAGTATCTACTGAGGCTGAGTATATGCCTACCCTCGCCACCTGGGAATTTCATGCCTAGATGTATAGAGCCCATAGAAATTAGTACATATCTCAAAAACATGTACAGGACTGCTCGGCAATATAATTATTTCTAGCTAAACATGGAAACACTCAAATGTCCATCAATAGTACAACATAAATAAATTAAGATATATTGATCGTAACTGGCATCGTCATTTACAGGGTTTAGTGCAGAATGAAAATGCAGCTGCCTTGTTAAGAAATTATTAAGACTTTAGAGATGGCAATAGCAGAACATGAAACCAAGCAGGAAGCTATAATGGCACTGTGTTGGTGACATTCCCCTGAAGCCTGCCCTGATATTAATACAATGGAGTACTACACAGCAATACAAAGGAACGACCTATTGCTACATATAACAAATGGATGGATTTTGCAGATATACAGGGAGCAAAATAAGTCAGACACAAAAGAGAATACGCTATACAATTTCATTCATATGAAGATTAAGAATTGAGAAAATAATATACGATGATAGAATTTAGAGTGGCATCTACTGCGGGGACATATTGAAAGGGAAGGGATATGAGGGAGCTTCCTAGGGAAGGGGTATGAGGGAGCTTCCTAGGGTGGTGGAAATGTTCCATATCTTGATCAGGACTGTGGATGCACAGGTACGCATATGTATAAAAACATAAATAACAATACTTAGAATATAAAAGCACCATATGGTGTCAGCTGCTCTGACTCTCCAGTCCTTTCATCCAGGCGTGGATCTGAATCTTGTGCTCGGACTCCTGTTTGGATGGATGTCATTGCATGGTCCCATGGCTCAGAGAGCAGCGGAAGAAGACCCTTCAAGCTCTCTAATTTATGGCACCCGCATTCCCGTTGTTCACGACCAACACCCGCCATCCTGAGACGCTCCTCAGAGCCAGGGATACCAGCAGTGCCAGTTCACACGCGACAGGTGCAGAAGTCTATCTAGGACACTTAGGTCATGAGCAAGAGTGCTTCATGTGACTAAATAGTCTATGTTGTAGTGCGCCATAGCTGTAGATTGCCTTTGTTTTTGCAATACAGTATTTCAGAGGCCTTCCTTTTCCATTGCAATGTAATCGATAGGTTTACCATAAGGAAAGGAAAATATACATTTAGAAGGGAAACAATTTTTGTATTAAAAACAAAATAAAATTAGAACGAAATTTACTGTGGTACTAGAGGTCATTCAGTAAGCACATATTTTTAAAGGAAGTAAAATGGCATATACCCTTTTGACTAGTCTCTGGGCTTCTTAGATCATGATATACCTGCCTCATTAGATCTCATTAAAGAACCAAAATTAAGGTTCAGCCTGTAGAAGGAACTTACTCCTGATTCTGTCAAGAACGATTACAGGTTTGCCCCAGAGAGGTGAACTGGGATAAAGTGCCAAGGGTTAGGAGCAGAAAAGTCCAGGTAACACAATCCTTCATCTTAAGGGCCTTTGGAAAGTTCGATTGGTAGCTCTCAGTGACAGGTACAAGTTGACAGCTTTATCACTTTTGTTCAGATAAGCTCAGTGCAGATTTCACCTTGATGTGTTCTTATTATCTCCGTACAGTATTCATGCCCGCTCATCCTATATCACTGTGAATATGTTTCTTCTCAATAAAATATAACTGCTAATTATTGAGTGACTTCTTTGCGGTTGGTATTTACATGATCTCACTTAATCATCAAATGAGCCATGTAAAGCAGGTTTCATCGACCCCATTTTAGAGCTGAGCCATTGAATTATTGGAACTGCAGTTTGCTGGCCACTGTTTTTATTCATAACCTCTTCTTGAAGACTTCTCTCATGTTCTGGCTCTCCCATGAGGATCTTATTTCCACTGCAGCCATTTCTCACATCCCATATATTCAAGGGTCTGGAGTAGGATTGCCAGATAAAATACAGGACTCCCAATTAGATTTTAATTTCAGATAAATAATGATTTTGTGTGTGTGTGTGTAAGTATGCCCGGTGTGTGTGTGTGTGTGTGTGTGTGTGTAAGTATGCCCATGTGATACTTGCAGTAATATTTAGTAATACTAAAAAGTTATCTGGTCTATGGCCATGCCACCCTGAACAAGCTCGATCCTGTCTGATCTCGGAAGCTAAGCAGGGTCGGGCCTGGTTAATACTTGGATGGGAGACCACCTAGGAAGATCAGGTGCTGTAGCCATAAAAAATAAAAAATAAGGGATTGTAAGCTGACAACGTCCTTGCAATCTGTGAGGTCAACCAAGGGTTGCCTCGCCTAAAATAAAATAAAATAAAATAAAAATAAAAAAATAAAATAAAAGGTTATCCGAAATTCAAATTAAATTGGGCCTACTGTATTTTTGTGAAATCTGACAACCCTAGGTGAGCTAAGTGTCTCTCTGTGTGTTGTCTCCCCACACCATTTCTCCTTCCTTAGAACCTCTGGCAACTTTGAAAACACATGTCATCAGATTCCACTCTCTACTACCCACCCCTCCTCGCCGTTGTCTGTTACGCTTATGGTTACTTCTGTCAACTCACTAATCATTTCAGCACACGGTTCATTTTCTTCATCTGAATAATTATTTCCATTATACTTATCGTGATTTCAATATCCATGTAGATGATGCTTCAATACTCTTAATTCTGATTTCCTTTACCTTCTAATTTCAAACACTTTCTCTCCATCCCAATTCAAAAGGAGAAGAGTGTAGAGAGCTTTGTAGTGTTAAATAAGGTGATTAGGAAGGCCTCACTGAGGAGATGACTTTGAAGGAAGCAAGAGACCCAGCTCTGTTGACATTTGAACAAAAATTGTCCAGGAAGAGGAACTAGTAAGTGCAAAGGCCTTGAAGTAGATGCGTCCCAGGCTTGATTTGGAAAGTTTCTTGAGAACAGGGATCATATCTTATACTTGGTAGTGTTATTAATTGTGCCCAATAATATTTCACAGGAATAACTGTAACATTTACAGAAGTATGATGATTCATAAAAGAGTAAAATAAGTGTTTAATAAATGAGAGGGGGCACATTGATAGAAGTTTATTAAAGATATCTAAAAATTAATTCCTGTACTGTGCTAACTCTCCATCAAATGACAGCCTTTAGGATTCTGAACGATATATAAACTAAAAGCATAAATTGAATAAGTAGTTAACATTATGTACGACCACAAAAGTGCATTTGAGGGGAGCAGTTTGAGGGGCACAACGAAAGTTTTACTAGGCTAGATATGCAAAATATTTTCCCAAGGTTTTTACATTTTTCTCATTTGAATCAGGTCTTCCAAACATTATGGACTTAGAACAGTTTGTTCGCCTTACGTCTTCTCTCCTACAGGCCAAATTTCTGCAGTTTTCATGACCTTTAGGTTCGTTTACTTTCAACCCTAAGAACCTTGAGAAATGGAGGTAGGGATAGTAAAGATTAGATTTCGTTTTTAGCTATTTCTTCAATAAAGCTTTATTGGGTGCCTGCCGAGTGAGAAAGCCCCAAACCGTAAAATCCTAGCGTCAAGAACAAAGCTCCACATAGTAAATATTTTGCAGGTTTCTGAAGAACGTATGAATAATAGAAGAGGCTAGTGGCTTCTCTGAGGCACCTGGAGACATGACTAAAGTATTGGAGCCAAATTTCCAATTTTGTTGAATAGTTTCTGGACTATCACACCGAGCGAGAACAAAGGGAAAATGCCCAAATAAAACAACGACCATTAATAACCGCATGACGCCGACGCGGCGGCTAATTCTGTCCGCACTAGGCTCCCGTAGTCCTCGCCGCCGTAAGTTGTTTACGTCGCGGCCGGTAGTGACGTCACGTGATTTGGAGCTCGCGGGAAGCCTTGTCTTCCCGTCTGGGTACCGGGCCCGCGCGCGCGCGGGACTTTCAAGCGTCGGATCCCGGGAGCTCGAGGCGATATGAGCCTCTGGGTGGACAAATACCGGCCTTGCTCCTTGGGACGGCTGGACTATCACAAGGAGCAGGCGGCCCAGCTGCGCAACCTGGTGAGTCTGCGGACGCGGCGCGGAGAGCAGGGGGCGGGGCGAGGCGGGAAGAGAGGCGGCCCCCAGCTCGCGGGGGTCGCGTCCCCGGGGAGCGGGGTGCGTGCCCCTGTCGCTTCAGAAGGTGACAGACGCTGTGGAAATAAATAAAACAGGGAAGGGGCAAGAGTGTGCGGGCGAGGGTTGTGCTCGTAAAGAAGGAAAGGCCCACTGAGAATTGTTATCCGAGCCAAGTCTTGAATGAAGTGAGAAAGCCCTCGATAAATTTGGACGGAGTGAAACAGGCAGCGGGAACAGCGAGTGCAGGATCCCTGAGGCAGGACTGCGCACAGACTTACAGGAGTCTCGGGGAGGCCGATGTAGCTGGGTAATAGCGGGCCAGCGGGAAGAGTAGTAGAAAACGGGGTGTATGGCGGGGCCTGGGTGCAGAGCCAGTAAATCCTATAGAGTGGGATGGGAAACCATTGGAGGGCTTGGAGTAGAGAAGGGACATCATCTGACTTTTTAACACACTTAAAGTTTTCTGGTATCATTATCATTTACGAATAGGATATTGGATTTATTAGTTTCTGATTCTGAAATAGGTTGTATTAGGTTTTCCTTGAGTTTAATTCCTTACGGAAGAATTGTCTCCTCCATCCTGATGCCTGTTTTTATGTTCTAGTTCCTAAAAGTGGCTAATGACAATGTTTTATGAGAAGCAAATTGAATTTTGTAGAGAATGGAGAGGGAAGAAGGGTCTTGAGAAAAATCTAGCATCTGTGGAAGCCGTTTATCGACTCCTTTTAAGGACCTAAAAGTCCCATGTGCTGATGGAAGTGTTTTTGCTCAGCACTCTGGTCTTCCATTACCCACCATTTTCAGAACTACAGGTACTTTTAAGTACTTTTTTAAAAATGAAAAATAATAAAAAAAGGATTCCATCCTTTTATATGAAATTTATTACAAAAGTTGAGAGTGGGGTGAGATAGGTGTTTTTTTTTCTCTTTAATTATTAGTATTCCATCTATGCTAATTTAAAATAAATCTATTACAGATATACACTTATAGACAAATTACATTTTCTCACAATACCTTTCACTTCGATTTTCTTAGACATAGGATACATTTTATTTTACTTTCGATGGCTTTTTTCAAAATAGAATGTGGAATACATGTTTTGTACAATTATTTAATATGTTGGTCTTATGTGTTAATAGATTTGCTTTGAACAAATGTTTGCCTGTTTGCTGTTGAATCTACTACTTAATAAAACTGAAACATTTAATTTTGATTTAAGTTTTAAAAAAAGGCAGCAAATATTTGTGAAGTACATACTATTTTCCATGCACTGTATTAGGTGACTAGTTCCTTTCCTTGAGACTTTTTTTTCAGTGCCAGAGATAGATGAGTGTACAAAGTATTAAAATTTACAGTAATAAGCACTTCTGTTAAGGTACTTATTTCATTTTTTTCTTTAATTACTTTAAGAACTTTTGGTCCACGAGATACACCTGAGATGCAGACGTGTTCTCATCATCTTTATAGCCTTGGTATTACTGATTCCTAAAAAGGACTGATCATCAAACTCACCTGAGAAGCTTTTTGAACTCACACACACACTCTTGTACTGCAGTGCATCTCTGCCAGTGCCCTACTCCACCCCTTTGTTCTTGTAAGTGCACACACAGACGGGTTTCTAATTCTCTGTATTTGCACTTGCTGAAGGCTTTCTCTTGCTGACATAATGCCCGCCCCCTCCCCATCCACTTTCCTAGTCAGGCTTCAACAAAGGATTGATGAGAAAATGGCTTATCAGACTCCAGCCTCCACACCCCTTGAGTGTGTTAATGCTGTTGTGTATTTTAACACTGACTTCAAGAGTATCCCCAGCAGGATCGAGGCCCAGGTGCCCAGAGTGGTATTTAAATTGATAATACATTTTGTCTTCCTTTCCTTGCAGAATTATCTGCAGAATTTTCCTTTACCTCCCAAATAAACCAAATGCACTCAATTCTTATCAAAGGGACTGTAGAAGATAGGCATTAATCTCAGTTATTGATTCATAATCTCATGGATGGGGTTCAGTTATCAATTAGTCTTTTAAGAAGTTCTCTAGGAGATTCTGACAGTTAGCCAGGTTTGGGAGTTCTTGCTTTCTAGCATATGGTGGTGTATTGCATTTACTATGCTAGGTGTATAATTATATAAAATTAATGCCAGGGAATAATCAACATTCCAGAGTTAATTTTAAAAACATCTGTTTATGTATACTCATATACACACACATATTTGAAATTTTACAGGCAGAGATGTAAAATATTGATACTTAAAAAGTAGTTTAATTCTACCTAGAACAGTTATGTGATTAGGGAAAATGCCTCGATCTTTTTTTTTCCAGGTGCAGTGTGGTGATTTTCCCCATCTGTTAGTTTATGGACCGTCAGGTGCTGGTAAAAAGACAAGAATTATGTGTATTCTACGTGAACTTTATGGTGTTGGAGTAGAAAAGCTGAGAATTGAACATCAGACCATCACAGTAAGCATTTCACTCTGAGGCCCATTCCAAATATTTATAGCACGGAATCTCAGTCCTCATCATCTGTGCGCACCCTCCCTCCCCCCACCCCACATTTCTGCCTCCTGTGTGATTTTAAGTAAGAATTTCACAGGTAATCCTGGTGCACAAGATTGAGAGCTACTGATTTATAGACTTAACTATGATAACCAGACCAAAGTCAGTTACATTTTAAAAGAAATATGAGCAACAGAAGATTTGAGATAAAATGAGAGTGGTTGGATTCATTTTAGATTACGTAGGAAACCAGTGGCTCAGCTGGAACTAGAACTCACGTTTTTAAAATTCATTGTTTTCGGAGCAATAGTGGGCATAGAAAGAAAGGGAATGATTTGGAGGAAAATTTTAAATGTGGAATCAGGCTACTTATAAGGATTGGGCGGCTGACTGACTGGGAAAGAGGGCACGGAGCTCCAGGACGTTGAATGTTCTTGTGATCTTGCCCTGGCTGAGCTTCCAGCCTCATACTGAGCAGCGCACTTTCGTACTCTCCTCAGAGACCATGTTTAAGGTCTGCCTGGAATGCTTCCTCTCGGAGTGCCCTCTAACCCCATTAGAATTAATTTTTCCTCCTACAACTCAGTTTATACTTTTAAAGTACTTCATTTTGCCTTATAGTTATATTTTATTATAGTTATTTATATGTCTTCTATTTTGACAAGATTTTGTTTTTAATTATGTAGAGGACAAGGCATATTTATTTTCATATCTTTCATAGCCGCTGGTATACTGTCTTATACATAGCAGACATTGAAAAAATGTACCCTGACTATATGGATAATAGTGCTATTAATAAAATAAGAGGATAAATAGATTTTAGGCTAATATTGAATACCTCGTATTTAGATGCATTGCTTATAAAATATGCAGGGACAAATTTAACAAAAAAGGTGTGGGATCTGTAGGAAGAAAACTAATATAAAAGCACAAAAACAACTGATCAAATGGAAAGATGTATCATGTTCTCAGATGGGTGGCTTAATATTTAAAAGTGTCTCTTCTCCCCCCAAGTTATAGGATAAATTTCAGTGAAATTCAGTTAAAATTCAACTTGTTTTTAATGGTATGAAATTATCTTAAAGTACATATGAAAGAATACATTGCTGAGACTAGCTGAACTAATTATAAAAAAGGTTTGCGCAGTGGGACTTGTGTGAACAAGTGTTACATCATATTGTAAAGCTACTATAATCAAAATAATACTGTATAAGAATGAGAATAGGAATTAGATCAGTGGAACTGATAGGGAGTTCAGAAATAAGACTATTTCAAATCAATAGGAAAAGGATAAGTCAGCACAAAATGCCAACGAAGTTATCTACCAAGAAGAAAATAAAATTGAATCTATATGATGCCTAGTTTATAAAGATAAATTCTAGATGAAGTAAAGATTTAAATGTTAAAGAGAGACACTAAATGTCTTAGAATAAAATGCCTCAGACTATATAAATAGCCTATGTGTCAGGAATACCTTTTAATAGAAAACATGGAAGATATAGAAGAAAAGAAATAGATACCTGGATATATATAAATTTTAAAAGTTTGAATGAAGATAGCACAAAATCTATAGAAAAATGAATGATTGTCAAAAAATATTTGAAAGGAACATGTTAGGTAAAAGATTTTACAAATTGACAAAGGTGGAAGACAGCCTGTCAGAAATGGAATAAAAAGTCACAGAAGAGAAACATGTAAAGGTGTTGACCTTTCTGGTAGTTGAGGAGAAGCAGAGTAAGTCTATTATATGTACTCTTTAGGATATGTACTATCATATATATAATACACTACTTTACATATATCTCATGTATATTATAGTATGTATAATAAACTTATCAAATTGGCAACAATCAAAGGCATGTGAAACCTGCACACGGTGAATGTTGAGGAAGAATATTTGTTGCTAGTAGAAAACTGAATTGTTAGATTTTTTTTTATGGAAAGCAGGCTGGTTATATGTATAGACACACATATAAAAGTTTTGAAAACATCCCCTTCAATCCAGCAGATTCTTTATTGGGAATCTATTTCATAGAAATGAGATGTGCATGAGACATATATACAAGGATGTTAATGGTGGAATTGTTTCAGACAGCAAAAAACATGAAACAAAATGCCCACCAGTATGACTGACTTGGGGAAATCCATGTTATAGGTTGCTATGCAACTGTAACACCCTATACCAGTGGTCTGAGAGGGATTGCCTAAATGCATTAAGTAGGAAAAGCAAAATGCAGGGAAATATATGTGATTGCCTCTTTTATTTTTTACAAGAAACACTAATGTTCTATATATGTATTTGTGTACTTATTTTTGTGTGTTATGGAGAAGGTTGGGAAAGGACGTGCAGATTGTGTACAAAGATAATCTGGTAATGGGATGATTCGGAAAATGTAATCACAAAACTATGTATAACCCAATTTATATAAAATCACAAAACTGTATGACCCAATTTATATAAAATCATATGTTTACACATTAAGAAAAGAACGGGGTTAATGAAGTTAAAACATTGATGGTGGTTCTGTATAACATTTTATTTTAGTATGCATAAATTGTTGATGTAATTAAAACGGTGAAATACAGAACAGAGGAGAAATAGCCAATAAATAAGTGTTAAAAATATGTTTTCTTTGTTCACAGACTCCATCTAAAAAGAAAATTGAAATTAGCACCATTGCAAGCAATTACCACCTTGAAGTTAATCCCAGGTAAGTTGCTACTATATAGAAATAAGCATTTTTAGAATAGTGGTATTCAGACTTTTTAAAGAGTAGAACCTTTTCTTGGAATAAAATCATTTGTAGAAACACAGTATATAAAACAGTGCCCCGTGTGAAATAGAGAGCCGAGAACCTTTCCGCTTTGCCTTCTCTCTGAGTCCCCCTCAGTCAAATAATTTTAATAATTAAATTTTCTACTGAGCTCAGTGCTTTATTTGAAGTGCATTACATAGTAAGTTTTTTAAAAAATATGTTGCCTCATTCAGAACTGATGAGCAAAGTATGTCTAAAAAGTTTGTAATATCCGGAATGAATATTTCACAAGGCGATTTGGGGTAACCATATCTTTGCCACTCCTTTGTTTCAATTTCTTGATTAGAGGGTATTATAATAGTCCACCAACCAACATCTGTCTTATCTATCATGAGATAACAAGGTTAGGATCTTGTTGGAGGCACATTGAACACTCATGTCATAGCAGATATATACTGCTTAAGTTAAATGGTGTAAAAATGATTGTATTGGGAGCAAAGTTGGGTAAGGCTTCAGGCTTCTCCGGGGCCTGATATGTTCTTGAAGGAGAACAGAATCGAGGACATCATCAGGCAAAGGTACCTTTATGAGCACTGGCACAGAGACAAGAATGAACATCTGTTTTGAGACTGAGTGGGGTTGCAGGAAGAGAGTTACAAGGTAATATTTGGTATAAAGCACCTTGTGAGAAGTTTTAAATGGTTTACTATATGTAGTCCTCAAAACAACCGTAACAAACAGATATTTTCCCTGAGTACGTCAAAGAAAATTAAGAGAAGTAAGGTTGATGGGAAGAGTTTGATCATAAAAATAGAGAAAGCATTAGTTACATAGACAAAAGGAAAATATTTTGGGTTTTTAACTAGGAAATGAACATAAAAGACACTCTAGGTGTATTGATCTAATAATAGTGAATTGAGAAAGACTTGATGACTGGGAGAATAATGTAAAAGCTGATTGCTTTGCCCTCTTTCTCATTGTGAGTTCCTCTATCGCAAGAACAGTCAATTAGAGATGAAGCGGATTGTTTTTCAGGTGTTCTAAATTGACATTCAGCCTAAATTAACCAGGTGACTTCTGTTGGTTTGTGAGGTGCGTGACTTAAATGCCAAAGCAGTAATGTAGACATTAAATAACAGATAATGCCAATAGTAAGTCAACAGCTTATCTTAAACTCCATTTGCTTATCGCATTCTCTTGCCGAGGGAATCAGCTCCATGCTCCTACTGGGAGCAGACTTGTCAAGCCTTGTCCTCTCTCAGACCTTTGAATTTCGATGATGGGAAAGAGGAATGGAGATTAAATTTGTGTTTCAAAGATTTGTTTTTATATTTTGAGTAATTATAGATAATTAAGAAATTAACTGTAACTAGGTATTAACTATAATTGGTACAGAAGTGTTAGAGTATTTAACAAACTTAATTATTAGTGCTCCTTTTAAATAACAGTAAACTTAAAAGAACATTTAGTGTTTTCAGTGACGTTAATTAAATTGTAATTCAGTATTGGAATACCGTATAATAACCCTAAAATATTTCACTTTTAAAGTGTTGTGAATTATTAGGTGTTATTAATTTTGATTAAAATCTTAAGCATTGTCTTATAATAGATTAAGGGCATGATACTATCAAGTTATTTATATATATTTATATTATGTTTATATATATATATGTATTTACCATTATTTTTGTCTTGCATAGTGATGCTGGAAATAGTGACCGGGTAGTAATTCAGGAGATGTTGAAAACAGTGGCACAATCTCAGCAACTTGAAACAAATTCTCAAAGAGACTTTAAAGGTACGTAGTAAAAAGATTTCTTTTTGTTAAGACACTCACATTATAAGCAATGAGTATGAGAGCAAATATAGTGGGAAGTTATAAATTTCATCCATTTAGCAAATGTTAACTTCCTGTTCTTTGCCAAGCATTATGCTACATTTTTGCGGGGGTAGGTATCTAAAAGTGAATAAGAGAGGCATGATCTCTGGGCTTAGGAGTTTGTTATCCAGTGCAATTGAATTTTGGCAGAAAGAGGATGTTGGTGCCACCCATTTGTTGGAACTAGATGAATAATGAAAAACACTTTATTTAATAGAAATTACAGAATTGAAGAACAGCTGTTCTTAGGACCAAAGCTATATGTTCGTTATCACATATTTGAATCAACAGGAAGATTAAAATCATCTATAATTTTACCATCCAGAGACAATTATTGTTACACTTTCGTCATTACCTTCCAGCGTCATTAATCATCTTATAGAAGATTTTGTGATGATAAATATGCCAACACTTAATGCTTTTGATATATTTTGCCAAATTCTTCATCTGTAATAAGGTATAGGTTTATACAACCATCAGCAGTAATGGGGAATGCCCATTCCTTCTCAATGTTTGTCAGTGCTGCGGATAATTAATTTTTGTCAGTTTAAGCAGAGAAAATAAGTTGTGTTTTGTTTTTCTTTAGTAAGTGTAATAATTTTCCTTTGTTGCTCATTTTCATGTTTTTTGATTTGCCTACGCTTTTTCTTATCTTTCCTCCTCAGTCTCCGTATTTCAACATAAATTTATATTTACTTATTTTTGCTACTATAAATGGCGTCTTCTCTTATATTTACTTTGTTTACATATATGATACCTTTTGATGTTTATATCTTCATTTTATATCGTATATTATTAAATTCTTATTGTTTATAATAGTCTTCCTATTGTTTCTTTTGTGTTTTTCAGACATATATTCATATCATCTAACTGAGTTTTTTTCTCTTCTGATTTGTATGGCTTTAAATACTTTCTCTTGTTTAATTATGTTTGCCAGCAGCTCCAGTACAGTGTTTAATAGTAGAGAGAGTGGATGATGATGTTTTTATGACCAAAGTGAGAGAGCCTTAAGGTTTCTCCACAGTTAATTGCTGGATTTTGGCGTTTCTGGAGTAAACCTCACTTGGTCACAATGTGTAAATTTTTAAAATATGCTGCTGTTTTCTGCCTACCAGATTTATTTTTGTATCAGTGGTCTATAGTACCTTTTGTTTGATGCGATTTTTGTCATATTTCTGGATCAGCCTCCTTGTCTGTTTTTCCTGTTCTGTTCAGTTTGGATTCTGTTTCAGAGATGCTCCTTATTGTGCAGGGTACTTCCTTTTGTTATTTTCAGTCTGCTTTTCTGTCCACACCTACTGCATCCTGGTTCCATTGCTCTTGACCATGGATTGAGCCCCGTGGGTGCTGTTCTCAGGCCCTTGATGCTTCCCTGTGGGTTCCTGTGGGCGGTTTGGGGCTCTGTCCTAAAGGCTGTCAGAAACCCAGGGGATCCCGGCCATTTCCTCCCACACGTAGTTCTCACTTGCTCACACTTGGGATTCTTAGTTAAAACTTGTCACTTAGTTTTGATATAAATGTTGTCTATGGGTCTTTGGTCTTAAAATCTCTGGTTCTGTCTGTCTGTATGGAAAAGATTCAAATGCAACAATGCTAGCGCTGCTATCTTCTGGAAATAATTTAATGTCATGAAAAATACAACAGTTGGATTCAGTTGCTACCTACATGTTATTGCTGAAACGCTTTAAGGCCAATCCTTGATTATTGCCAGGTGGAAACTTACTGTACAAGTGACCAGATAGCTTTATGCCTTGTTGGCTACATCGCTTGTGCCAGTTTTCGCCCAAAGTATATTCCTTAGATTGCTGTTTTAAGATGTTCCACAGATGTGCCTCTGGGATAAAATATTTTGGGGAAATATAGCACGGTACACCCATCTTGGTGATTTTTAGTGCATGTAAATACAACAAAGCCTACAGTGAAGTCATTCTACAGCAAAGCAACCTCTTTCACTTCATTTAGCGTAGAGTTTCTTAGGCTTGTTTGATTTTAGAATTTTAAAAATAAAAAAATAAATGATTTTCATCATACCCACAACTTTTATAAGTCCTTGCCTAATGGAGGAGTAGTATTGAGGGATTATTTAGAATTTCACTCTGAATAACGAGGAGGAGGAGAAAGAGAGATATTCAGGTTTAAGTTTGTTTTGTTTCTCCTCGTCTCAGTGGTTTTATTGACAGAGGTTGACAAACTCACGAAAGATGCTCAACATGCCTTGCGCCGAACCATGGAAAAGTATATGTCCACCTGCAGATTGATCTTATGTTGCAATTCTACATCTAAAGTGATACCACCTATTCGTAGTAGGTGCCTGGCAGTTCGTGTGCCTGCTCCCAGCATTGAAGATGTAAGTCACGTTCTGTCTTTGTTTCTATAAAGACACAGTGAGGTGTGTTATTAATTCAGGAACAGCTGTGGTCTGAATGCGAATCATTAAAAGATGTACAAATCAATATATATAGTAGTAAATATCAGACACCAGTATATAGAAAGTATTCTTCTCTTTAAATCATCTTTTACTGTAAACAAGTAGATATTATAAATTTTACTAAACTAGGGAAGGGCTAGTTATTTAGTATCTTCTACCTCAACCTGATTTAATTGGCTTTGGAGGAGACTTGAGTATGGAAGAAATAGATTTTGCAAGGAAATGATGCGGGAATACCTACTCCCTAGGTAGGGGACCAAAGTTAGTGTGAAACAACATATGTATGTGTGTGTGTATGTATATTTGTCATTCTTAATAGCTATTAGTAAAACTACTGATTCTCAAAATAAGCAGCCTTCCTGTCAGTATTTGGGGCAATTTTATGCAAAATAGGGATAATATGTGACTTTGTATTAGTTGCAAAGTGGTAAAATACCTATATTTTAAATTTCACTTGTAAAAATTTGGGGAGTGATACAGTTAAAAGGGTCAATAAAGCAGGCAGGACTACTAGGGTACACCACTCCCACAGGCACCATTCATGTCTGAGTCCATGCAAATAACACCCCTTGAGTTGTGCAGAATTCAGCCCATGTGGCTCTACTTGGCAGCTCTGCTCTTGCTACCGACCTGGGACCCTGTGTCTCCTCCAGCTGTCTCGAGGAGGCTGGCAGGCTTGGACCTGGGACTAGGTCTTCATCCAGTTGCAAGGCTGGCTGCTTGCTCTTTCTGACAGCTAGGCTAGACCCCTGACTTCCTGCTAAAGGAGCATGTGGGTTAGGGTAGGATAGTGACCCTCCCCGCCCCCAAAAAAAGGCTTATAAAGATGTTATTAACAGAAATTGTCTCGATATGCTGTTTGACAGATGGCCCATTTTTGTTAATTATTTTATTTGTAGATTTGTCATGTGTTATCATCTGTGTGCAAGAAGGAAGGTCTGACTCTTCCTCCACAGCTGGCTTATAGACTTGCAGAGAAGTCCTGCAGGAATCTCAGAAAAGCCCTCCTCATGTGTGAAGCCTGCAGAGTGCAGCAGTGAGTGAAAGGGGCAGTTAGCACAGAACACTTTCTGAAAAATAAGCACACTTCCATTCAATTTATCATGTTCTTTTTTTGTCGTGTAGATATCCTTTTACTGCAGATCAAGAGGTCCCTGAAACAGATTGGGAGGTGTATCTGAGGGAGACCGCCAATGCTATCGTCAGTCAGCAGACTCCACAAAGGTAACGGTGTAAAAGGTGACCATGAAAGTGGCCATCGAGGTAGTGTAGATACTCTGAGTTTCAGGTTAGCAGTTTTATACTAACACCTTGCAATTTAGAATAATTAAATCTTGACTCTAAAAACTCAACTTTTTAAAGAAAAGGTAGGATTAATTTTAGAAATTTAGTGGTTCAGAAAAGTGGGTGTGTGGTATCATGGCTTCTGTTAAGCTGTTCACATGTAAATGTGGAACTTATAAATTAAAACTTATCTTGGAGTTTTTAGTTTTTCTTTTAGGTTCTCAGGTGACTTAAAATTAATACATAGCATAATGTGTCTAGTTTTTTAATATTCAAAAGAACAATATATAACTTTGCAATTGATGCATCAAAAGCTAGAAGGATACCAGACTGAGTCAGACTTCTAGTCTTCTACAGATTTTTAGGTGTGATGATAGGATCTGTTAAGAAGAATATTGTGTATATGTTGTCAGCATTTAGGAAGGGTTTGGAGGCACATTTGGTGCACGGTTGTTTCCATTTATTTCTATTTGGATCGATTTAGTAGTGGCCATACTGAAAATATTTCAACCACTGGTTGTTTGATTTGTGACAGCTTTGAGAAGGGCAGTCTGTTCTCCAAATGAAGAGTGACAGTCTGAAGGCCCACCACCTTTGGGAAGCCTGGGGAAGATTCCTTAGGCTCGCTGAGACCCAGTCTCCTATTCTTATTGTTTGTCAGAACTAGAAACCATTTTTAGACTTAGAGAAAGTAGTTGATTGTTTTAGAAAACAAACAGTGCAGTCACGAAAATGTGAACTTCACTGGTTTATGTGAACATTATCATGAGAGGAATATCCCATATTCCTCCTCTTGGGTGATATATCTGATGAATTCCAATTTTTATAAGAGACTCTTTAAAGGGATTATCACATATTCTTCTGGCTATCACACAGATAAGTGGAGGCGAATAGACATACGTAATGGGTACTTAGTATTTAATCAAGGTTTGCTTTGAATTCCTATAAATCAGTTATTTTGGTTGAAGAAATTAATAGTTTTAAAAAAGTACCAAACATCATAAGTAGTCTTTTTGGAAAAGAAACCTTGACTTTAGAAAAAAAATGTGCATTCTATTGTGTAAAATGTAGATCAGTAAAGAATCTCAGCCTTTAAAGAGGTAACATTCAAACAGCATGCCTTACAGGTCTTGTTCTTTTATAAAATATTTCCACATTGAAGAAGACTTTCTTGTTTTTCTTTCTGATTTTATAGAAAAACTGGTGGCAGTGGTAGAACTTTCCTACTTTTAAGAGATTTAGTTACAGATGTTGAAATATTCAACAGTTATTAGATGCATTCTTAAGACTTTAGTTGATCATTGCTCCTTAATTCTTCTACCTGAGGCTACCCTTTCCTCCAATTTTCCACACAGGTTTTGGCAGCTCATAAATGAACTTGTTCCAGCAGAGGTGCTGCTGTTTCCAGTGGAAACTAACAGTTGTAGGGATTGATTGCATTGTACTGTGTAACAAGAAATTTCTCTCAATTCCAGAAATCCTTGGGGCTGGCCAAAAGTATTGGAAGGACCGCTGTCATTCCGATCATTGCCACACAGTACCAAATGACTGCTTCTGATTTTTGACCTCTTAGTCTTGCCGTAATATTTACAGTCTCGATTTTTGTTTGTCTTAGGAAAGTCATAATTTTCTAATTTGAATAGCAGCTAACATTTAGCAGATAATTATTATGTCCGTTCTTATACTATGTTATTTCAAGTCATATAACAGATCTATGAAGAAAGTATCATTACTCTCTATTTTGTAGATAAGAAAACTGATATTTGGGAGATCGTTGCTTATTCAGGGACATTCAGTTAGTAAGAGGCAGTTCTAGAATACCATGTTTCTCTGACAGAAGAATTTGTACTCTTTATCAATTGTAACCCTCAAGAAATGATGACACAAGCATAGTATATGTAGAGTATATTCATTTTTTAGAAACTGGGTTATATTAGAAATTACCTCAGACTAAGATGAGATGCATGTAAACGTGCATGAAATAACATGGTATAATTACAGCACAGTGTATAGTTAAATATATCCTGAATCAACTTTTCAAAAATAAGGTGTATGCATAATTATTAAAATAACAATAGTATTTGTCATATATGTTTCTTATGCTTTAATAATCAGGTTTATTTTTGAGATATACCACTATGTCCGAGAGGGATCAAGGGTTTTGGAGTCAGAACTGAATTAAAGTGCTGCCTCAATTACATGAGTTTTGGTAAAACCTTAACCTTTCTGAACTTCAAGTTCTTTTCAGTAAGAGAGAGCAGTGGTATTAGGAATAAATCGTGTACTGCAGTGAACTTCAAACAGTAATGAGTTAGAGAAGTGCCAGGTCAGACATTTGGACTTAGGAGTAAGACAGGTCTGTCTGTGTTTAAGTCAGGGCTCTGCTGTGCTCACCTTTGTCAGGTAACTTAAACTACCCAAGCCTTATTTTTTTCATCTGAAAAAACAGAGATAATGCCCACTCACAGATGGTGTGAGGACTGTTTTAAATCATTTGTTATAGTGTCTTGCACACAGCAGGTACTCAAAAAATGCTAGTTCTTTTTTAAATGTTTAGTAAGCTTTATTATGGCATAGCTTGATACTCCTCGATTTCCAGGAAAGGGGTTTGAACTTTTAAGAAATCTTTTATAATCACTTCCCTGATTAATCCGAAGTGTGGAACATCTCCGGTATCATTTTAGTAAAGATTCAGAACAGCTTTTTTTCTCCTTTATGGTAGGTTAAGTATATACATAGTAGAGATAAAGGTACTTGTTTGATGTATATTTAGAATTTTAGTTGTTGCTTTTTTTCTTACTGTTTTAAAATGTCTATTTCCCTCCTTCACTCCTTTCCCTCCCATAAGTGTTATGAGAAGGGTCTGGGGTTCGGGCCTCGGAGCCTGGAATGTTCGTGTTTACTTAGGCAGCCTGGTCCGCTTCCTAGAACCTCTCGTGTTGCCCCTTTTATAACAGGACAGCTTTGCTTCCCCGAGTTGCTTTTTCACTTTGCAGTCTGGGCAGTAGCATTATATTATTACATCATCCTTATAGTCTTCTGTCACTTGTGTGATCGAGTGATCTTTAATCTTTTCATGACTGTTTTCTAGGTGTCCTAGGTATCATCTACTTGGAAAATAAATATGTTACTTGATATGTCATTAAAGTATATTAAAATCCGTGGTGTGAAATAAACTCAGCTGTCACTTTTCAATTCTTCATTTCTTTCTGGTACTTTCATGGTATTTCATTATGACTAATAACCCTGAATACAAATGTTGTCTGATTTCAATAGAATTCTGAACATTTTCTTTTAGAAAAATGAACTGAAATTAAGAAAAGCTTCTATATATGTATCCTAAGTATGACAGGCTATTTAAGAAAATGTCTGTATTGCATTAATTTATAAAGTTAAACAGCATAGTAGGTACTTGGAAAATTACCTCTTTATCACAAAATATTAATTATTATGTTTTCTGTAGACTCCTTGAAGTTCGTGGAAGACTCTATGAGCTTTTGACTCATTGTATTCCTCCTGAAATAATAATGAAGGTAACTTGATTTGGACTTTGGGTAGGTGATTACAGGGCTTCTGTATTACTAAGATAATGCTGTCACCTCTTTTATCCAGTTCATTCATTCAGTGGGTATATATTGAGCCTCTCCTGTATGATAGGAACCATTAGGAGAGTGTTGAAGAAGACAGGGGAGGGCCTACCTTCAAAGAAGTTACATTATAGTGGGGCGAAATGGGAAATAAAGAAGCAGGAGGATTTCAGAATGTTGTGTGTTAAAAAGGACGTAAGATGAAATGATAATAATGGAGGGCGGGGCTAAGGAACAGCCGTAATAGCTTCTCTGAGGATTAACAGAAGGGAACCGTGTAGATAGATGGCTGGGGAACAGGTATTTCAGATAGCAAGGTTCAGTGCAGGTGGGAATGAGGTTGAAGTTGGCAGAGTCTAGACTGTGGGATATTATAAGGCACAGCTTTAGAGTTGAACTAGCAGCTAACCTAGCTAGCTAGCTAGATTGGTTGACTGTTAGATTTAGGGAATGCAGGGTTTTTTGTTTCTATTTATTAAAATTATATTGTAATATTTACAAGAAAAAATTCGAGTGATCCCAAAAATAGAAAAGATAATCAAAGTCCACCCTTTCATTTCAATAAAATTTGTAGCCAGTTTTAACAGACCTCTATTCTGTTCACATAGAAATAAGCCCATAAAAGAGAGAGAGAGCATATGTGTGTTTAGTTTCACAAACTGCATAGTGTTCTGCACTGTTTTCAGTCTACCTTGTAGCATGGTGATGTTTCATGACAGTACAAATTTACTTTATTCCTCTTTATGGTTAAATGGGATTTCTTGGTATATCACTTTTTTTTTTTTTAACGTGAACTCTATTGGAACATTAGGTTGTCTATAGATTATTATTATTATTAATGTTGTAGTAAGCATCTTTATCCTTACATTTTTGCACCCTTGTACATTTAAATAGACATTTGGAATTTAGAATATGGTAGATAATTACCATAATTTTACATTAAAGAAAAGGTAAATCATTTTTTGACTTTTGGACGAAGACTGTCATTCCATATAAAAGAATTAAAGATTTCACAAATTAAAAAAAATACATATTTTACTTAACACTTCTTTTGTGAATGAGAGAAATAAAGCTTGTTTAGCTACTGTTTTTTTAAATAATTACTTTTTTAATTACCAGTTATCTCTCTTCAGGGCCTCCTGTCAGAACTTTTACATAATTGCGATGGACAACTGAAAGGAGAAGTAGCCCAGATGGCAGCTTACTATGAGCATCGTCTGCAGCTGGGCAGCAAGGCCATTTATCACTTGGAAGCATTTGTGGCCAAATTTATGGCACTTTATAAGAAGTTCATGGAGGACGGATTGGAAGGCATGATGTTCTGACACCTATCAGTAAATCTTCCTAATATTTCTCAGCATTTACATTCAGTTTATTTTCGAAGAGCTGCAGGTAAAATAAACTTAACTTTACTTAAGCATGTCCTGTTTGTGTGTTTTTTTTTTTATATAATCTGTGCACCATTAATCATTCTCCTCTAAGTTAAAGAATTGCTCCTATTTCATTGAAGTATATATTTTGAAGAACACAACTAGAAATGTCAGAGTCCAGGAACATGATTTTATTTTAATAATTTGTTATCCAAGTGTGCAATGTTGAATCTTTCATTTTTTATTTAATCTCTCACCTGCTGAAGGAAATTTACACGCAATAGCGTGGATATGGAAAAATTGCAGGCACCATTTCTATTGAAACTGCAAAATCCAACTTTTATCTCAGTGATTCAAATTTGGTATTGGGTTGGCTAGTAAGAAATAAGCATGTTTTCATTAAGTGTTTGAGACTCCTGAAGAATGGGCATTGTATAGTGCTGAAGCACAGGTATGCTGCTGTAGAAATTACTTTTTAAACAAGTGCACTAGCGTGTCATTCGTCTTGTCCTTTGGTACAAGACATTTTTTATTCAGATATTTGGTTCATGGAACAGAGGGTTTGCTTGACAAGTTTGTATGACAGGCTCTGAACAGTTTCTTTAATTTTGAGTGACAAAAGCAGGATTTAAAAACTACACCAGTAAGGTGAAATAAAAGAAGGTTTTAATTTTAAATAAGTTAAACTGCCTGTATAACGATATTGGAGGAACCTTTTGTAGCAGTTTGTGATAAACAATCAGGAAATGTTTAATTGGCAGACACAGCAGTACACCCCAAAAAAAACCTAATACAGTTTTAGCCTTAAGGGAAACTGTTCAGGTAAGAGAAATGACGATTGCCTTTTTCGTTTTTTTGTTTTTGTTTTTGTTTTTTTTTTTTGGTACTAGTCATAGCACAACTGGCCGTCTCAGTCCTGGGAACCCCCATGTTGGGAGGAATATCGATTTTTAACAAAAGAACTAGGAAGGTGATATTTGGGAAAGCTAGGACTTTTAATTTGGAAAAAAAAGAAGTAAATAGAATGTGGTAACTATCTACAAGTGTTTCAAATGATGTGCTTGGAGCATGAGTACCCTTATAATTTGCGTTTCTTTAGAGCAGTCCTCAGGGTGGACTCCTTGGATCAGCACCAGCATCACCTGGGAACACAGAAAGGTACCCTCAGGTCTCATTCCAGACTTTCTGAATCAAACTATGGGGGTGAGCCTCAGTGGTCTCTGTCGTGCCACCCCTCCAGGTGATTCTAATGTACACCTAAGTTTGAGAACCGCTGGTCTGGGGAACACAGGCTTAATGGATATAGGTTAGAGAGAGAGAGATTTTAGTTCCATATGAAGAACTTCCTAACAGCAGCTATCTTAACAGCAGTGTGGGAAGCTTGAGATCTCCTTACAAGCAGGAAGCATTTAGGTGGAGAATTGATGGCGACCAAAATGGTTCCTATATGCTTTGGGTCTATGTGTATAATTTGATTATAATCTTACAACTATGAGAGAGGTATTTTCTCTGTTCTATGAAATAGAGAAGTATAATTTTTGCAATACAACACAGACATTGTAAGTCTACATTTTGATTTTCAATAAATGTATTTAGTATAATTCAAATCAAGATAACAGATTCCATCACCCTAAAAATTCCTTTCATATCCTTTTGCTGTCAGTCCACCCCTACCGTGGCCCAAGTGAGTAATCTGCTTTCTGTCATTAGAGGTTAGTATTACCTAGTCAAGAATTTAAATGGTGTCAAATACTGTATGGTCTTTTGTGCAGACTTTATTCTCTCAGAATTATTATTCATCTGTATTCATGTTTCAGTAATTTAAAAAAATTTTACTGTTCAGTACATGTTTGTATATACTTTTAAACCCATTCACTTGTTAATGGACCTTTGGGTTTCCAGGTGTTGGTTATTTTGAATAAAGATTCTCTGAATATTTCTCAAGTAAATACAAAGGAATGGAATGATGACATAAGATAGATGTAAGTTTTAACATTGAGGAAGTTGCCAGTTTCCCACAGTGATTGTACTATTTTATATTCCACCAGTGATATCTGAGAGTGCTAGTTGTTCCTGTAAAATTAGTTCCATGGATTTTCTATCTTTTTTCTTTATTAATCCCATTCTACTTTTGATTTAGTTTGCTTTTATTAATTTTAGACCATTCTTTTCTAATAGCATTTAAAATTACAAATATTACCCTGAATACTGACCTAGCTTCCTTCAACAAATGTTTATATCTTGTGTTTTCATTTCTGTTTAGTTCCAACTATTTTCTAATTTCACTTGTGATTTTCTTTTGTTGGCCAAATGATTACTTGGAAATATGTTGTTTAATTTTCAAATTAACTGAGATTTTCCAGATGTATTCTCTGTCGTTGATTTCTTATCATTTACTGAGGAATATTAAAATCTCCAACCGTAATTATGGATTTATGTAATTCAGATCTTTTGAGTTTGCAAACAGTTTGAAGCCCATTAGTTACATATATGTTCAGGATTGTTATGTCTTCCAAATGAATTGACTCCTTTATCATTATGAATGCCTCTTTCTGGTAATATTCCTTGTTCTTAGCTTACTTTATCTGATATTAATGTAGCCACTCCAGCTTTCTTTTGATTAGAAATTTGCGTGGTAGACATGTTGTAGCTAAGGTCTGCTAACAATGAATTCTCTTAGTTTTGTCTCTCTGGGTTGTATCTATTTTTTCTTCATTTATAGAATTCTTGGTTGATTATTTATAATTTTTATTTTTTCCCCCAGTACTTGAATATTTCTTTCTACTGCCTTATGGTGTCTGTTTTTGATGAGAAACTGGCTAATCACTTTACCAGTTCCCTTTTACATGATATATCACTTACTGATATTTGCAGTATTTTCATTAGTTTTCTTTGGCTTTTAACTATGTGACTGTGCTGTGTCTAGCAGTCCTCTTTGTGTTTATTCTATTTGCTCTGTGTTTAGTTTCATGGATCAGATTTTATGAGTAGTTTTAGTATTATAATATCAGCATTTGGAAGTTTCTAGCCATTATTCAAAGTTTATTTCTGACCTTTGTCTCCTTTGAGACCCCCATCACTCATATGCTAGAATGCTTGACATTGTTCTATTGGTCTCTGATACTCTGTTCATTTTTCTTCAGTCTTTTTTCTCTCTGTTCTTGGGATTGGATAGTTTGATTGAGAGATCTTCAAGTTCACTGATTTCTTCTGCCACTTCATATCTGGTATCGAATTTATTTTTCATTTTAGTGTTGGTACATTTTAACTCTACAATTTCCATTTTATATAGTTTGAATTTTTCTATTGTGATTTTCTATTTATTTTATTGTTAGCATGTTTTTATTTAATTCTTTGAACATATTTATAATATTTGCCTGGAAATCTTTCTTGAATCCAGATCTGGTCCCACTCAGAGTCAGTTTCTGTAGACTGCTTTTTCCCTGTGTGTCATACTTCTCCCCTCCGACCCTCCATCCCCCATGTTTGGTCATTTGTGGCTGAAAACTTTAATGTTAGATAATATGGTAACTTTGGATTCTCTTTTGTATTTCTGATTTTTTAAAATGTGTGTTTTTTTTCATAGTTTACCTAGATTTAAACTGTGTAAGTTGCTTTCCTTGCATTGTGCAGCTGCTGATGTTTCTGCTCAGTTATTATTTTCATCTGGCCATCCTCCTGTCTGCATAGTTTAGGAGTCAGCCAATGATTTGGGTAGAGTTTGAGCTCAGGGATCTTAAAGTCAAGACTTTGAGTCTGCTGAGCTATGTGTGGGTTGAACATCCAAGATTGCAGCCCGTCTTGGTATCCCTTATTTTTCACTTTGCCAGTTCAGCAGTCAGGTGTGAGGAGCTTATCTTAGCCTCTCTATGGCTCTTTCATGTCCAGCATCTCTCAGTTCAGTGTCCTGTTCATCTCTCAGTGTTCTCTTATGGTTTCCACTTGCATAGATACATTTTTCCACCCATCTACTTTTAGTCTATGTGTCCTTAAAGCTGAAGTGGACTTTTGTAGGCAGTATATTAGTTGGGTCTTGTTTTTTTTTTTTTTTTTTTATCCTTTTTCATCCAGCCACTCTGCCTTTTGATTGGAGAATTCAGTCCATTTACATTTACAGTAATTATTGACAGGTAAGGACTTAAATATCATCTTGTCAATTGTTTTATGGCTAGTTTATAAGTTCCTCTCCTGCTTGCTTCCTTTGTGAGTTGTGCATTTGGTCCCTTGGCATGTCCCACAGCTTCCTCAAAGGCATTTCTATGAATAGATGCTGAATTTTTGTTGGGAACAGGGGTGACAAAAATAAAGGACGTCTTAAGTTGCCATGATGCAGACATCACTCCCCTTTGATTTTATGTTTTTATGATATAAATTAAAATTTGTTCCTAAGATTTGAAGTTATACAATATACATCACAACAAAAACTCTTGTGGTTTTACTTAAGTGCTGTTTTATACTCTGAGATACATTGAAACTGAGTAATAGGAATTTAAATGTTATTTCCAGTTATAGCACTCTAAATCACAAAACACATTCCTTAAAAAGTAAAAGCAACTGTTGGTAGCAATTTTCCTGTCAAGTTCTCAAGAAAAACGGTCAAAATATATTTTTCAGATTGATGAACTTAATTTTACTAGCTCTTTATCCCTGGTTTCTTTCCTGTACAATTCCCGTGGAAATTTGTAACATCCTGAGATTTTTTTTTTTTTTTTTATCAGTTTGGTCATGATGTGCAAGACTTAAATTACTTTCCTCTCCATAGCTTTGCAAAAATAATGGTGCCTACAAACTTAGCTCATGTCTAAATTAGAGTCTACTGCTGGTTACAAACACTATATGGTACCTTTGTGGCTTGGTACCTTCTGGGCCTGTTGCAGCTCTTTTGATTAGCTGATCGCATACTGAAGTTGTCATCATATACATAGCAGCATAAAAAACTTCAACTTCCCAAAGAGCAGTTGTGCAAAATAATCACTCAGTATGGGCATGGAGAGAATTCACACAGCCTTTCCAGAATAACATTAAGTACCTTTATGTGAGGCCCTGTGCT